TATCACATGATACCTTTCATTCACTGTTCGTAAAACTGGTGCAGCATCGTGATCTTTGCCCAAATGACTCGCTTCACGAATAGGACCCCCCAATTCCCAGTGCTCTGGAGCCGCCCCTGGTAAAGTTATGAACTTGAAATTTTCAGGGAATGTGCCCAATTTAGTTTTAGGAAAAGTCAGAAAATTTCAGCATCGTAGCTTCAGCGGTTTCGGAGATATTCCCGAAAAACCTGAGGGGTGGATAAAAACACCCCCCTGCCACTAATAGGGTTAACCCGCGCCCCGTTGGGCTCTGCCGAGCAACGCGCCCCGTTGGGGGGGGGCCATTTTGGCCCCCCCCTAAGATCTCGAGAACCACGCAACGTAGCGACAAGCGGCAAACGGTGTTGGATAGCCCTATCAGGGAACTACCTTGTGACCCAATTTTATTGACCTAGGTCAAACCGATGACGTCACAGGTCAGGTCAAAGGTCCAATTTTCACCGTTTACAGGCATTTCAAGAAATGCGTTGTAAAATCGAGTGAAATGCATTTCATTGAAAATCATCGATGGGGAAATGTTCTTCAAACACATATTTTGCTAGTTGAGGTCACTGATACCAGGTCAGGTCACTGAGGTCAGGTCACTGGGGGGTCACAATATAAAAGTGTCGTGTGATACATGTTTTATGGTCCATTTTACATGACAAATGCGATTATGTGGGTCAGGCAACCTTTGGGGCCAGCTTAGGTCACGTTTTGGTCAAGGTCAGGTCAAGGTCAGGTCAAGGTCAGGTCAAATAAGGTCAAATTTCAAAGTTGATATTTTTGCATAAAATGGGTATCGAATCGATGCAGCTCGTCACGGGGAGTTAAATGGTGGTCTTTGTTTTGCCGTACGAGGTCTAGAATCGCTAAAAATTGAGTTCAAAAATTTGACGTCATCATTTTTGAACAGTTTTTTCGCTATAACTTGGCCAAAAAACGAGATATCGATCTGAAATTTGGTATGTATATAGAAGAGCGCAGGGACTATCACATATATTCCGGTTTTTTCGAAATTCAGAAAAAAATTGGATTTTTTTTTTTAGTTATTCTAAAAAAATCAATTTTTTGAAATTTTTTGGCTCAAAAACCCAAAATTTAGAAAATCCGAGATAGCAGTTTTGTAGCGCCGCTTTTTGTCTATTAGACCATATAAAGAGCTTTGAAATTGCTTGATAACTGTAGATTTGGTGAGCGTTTCAAGATTGCATGTTTTTTGCTCATTTTTGCTCGAACATGACCTCAGTTTGACCTCAATAACTCCTGACCTAAGGTGACCTAAGACTTGAAATTTAGTGTGAAGGTGTCAAATTGATGCCCGGAAAGGTACTGAAAATTTGGCGGCGCTGCGCGCCGCCGTTTTCTTGCTATTCAGGAAAAACCACAGGGGGGGCCAAAATGCCCCCCCCCAACGGGGCGAGGGTTAACCAGGGATGAGGTCATTGCAAGGATTAGTGACACTGTCCAATGGAACAATGTCCATTCATTCCAGCACGGTCTCTTGGGTCAGGAGTATCCCTACTGGGTAGCAAGGTAACCACAGGTAACCTCGGGTAACCCGTGGGACGGTGGTTGCCCACATTGCTCCAACAGACGGTAAATAACTTTTGAAAATACCCATCTCCAATTTTAGTGTTTTCTGAACCAAAATTTTGCGAGGAATCCGATGGTGTGGTCCCCGAAATCTGAAAATTTTCATTTTGGAGATAGCACCTATTTTTTGAAAAGTAAATATTCGTCATGCACAAAAGTCAAATAAATTGAAAATATAATGAGTGAATATTTATATTAACACTAGAATGTATCGAACATGAATTAGTGATATATTTTAGATGAGCTGATACTATATCTGCGCATACATGTACATAAACTAGTACATTAACCCTCGCCGGCCGAGAAGGGGTGGGGCGGATGCCGCCTCATAGGGTTTTTTTCGCGATAGCTCAAAACACGCTGATGGAAAACAGCTGAAACTTGGCATACCTAATATTTTATTCAAGCTGGATCTTTTGACACCAACTGCGTTTTCAGGTCAGGTCAGGTCACTGACCTATGACGTCATAAATGAACCTCTGCACGGTCCTCAGAAGTTGCAACTTTGCAACGCCCTCAGTGCCAGAGGAACTTTCACAGGAAGATGAAACTTACAGGACGTGGTATCCTTTAGAGGTCTCACAAATTGTATATCTCAGATTTTTCCCAAATGTCACATGAGGTCAGTTCGGTCACGTGACCTCACCATAATAAGTCAATGGAGGGAAATATGAAAACTGTTATTTTGGCGCCAGAAATTGTCTAAAAACTGTCCCAAGCACATGCAATCGTGGTTTCATGCCTTTTTTGTAAGGTCCGATCATGAATTACCACGATTTCATGTGCTTGGGATAGTTTTAGATCATTTCCGGCGCCAAAATAACAGTTTCAATATTTCCTCCATTGACTTATAATGGTGAGGTCACGTGACCGACCTGACCTCATGTGACATTTAGGTTAAATCCGAGATAAACAAGTTGTGAGACCTCAGAAGGATACTACGTCCTGTAACTTTCATCTTCCTGTGAAAGTTCTTCTGGCACTGAGGGCGTTGCAAAGTTGCAACTTCTGAGGACCGTGCAGAGGTTCATTTATGACGTCATAGGTCAGTGACCTGACCTGACCTGAAAACGCAGTTGAGGTCAAAAGATCCAGTTTGAATAAAAGATTAGGTATACCAAGTTTCAGCTGTCTACCCTAAGCGAGTTTTAAGCTATCGCGAAAAGCCCTATGAGGCGGCACCCGCCTCACCCCTTCTCGGCCGACGAGGGTTAACCCGCGCCGGGCCGGTGCTCTGAGATTCCGCGCCGGGCCGCGGGGGTGTCTGAACACCCCCCCCTTCTAACTCGGCTCCTGGGCCACGTAGCGACATGCGGTAAGCGGCAATCGAAAGAACGTCAAAAATAAGGACGAAAACACTTCGGTCATTTTTTGGGTCAGGTCAAAGGTCAGGTCACCAGAGGTTACCAAAGGTAAAATGTTGACTATTTCAACATTTTGGAAACTGCCAACGGCTATCTCGGGAACCGATAGAGCTACAGCGCCGCAAAAAAGCGCATTCGATAGCCCTTTTACAGACCTTTCTGAGTAATGTTCTCAGATTTGACCTCAGGTCAACGGTTTAGCCTCCAGAGGGCAAAAACTCCAAAAATAGCCGTTTTTACGAAAAACGTTTTTTCGGCAATAACTTTTGACTCAAAAGAGGTATGACATTACTTTTGCCAGCATCGTGTTTCTCTCGTCGAGATGCGTCGAATGAACTATAATTTGACCTTGAAAGGTCAACTTGAAAATTTGACCTCAGGTCAAGGTCATGACCTGACCGGAAAAGGTCATGTTGCATATCAGTCGATCCGCAACGTCGAGCCGAACACATCTAAGGCGTTTTCAGCGCTCTAGCACGCCTCTATCAGAAGTTATCATCGAAAAACTGTTAGATTCTGTTCGTGACCTGAGATGACCTCGGGGGCATAACGAGGGGTTACAGTTGCCATTTTCTGGTTCAGTGTGTCTATTTTACCTACATCTCGATGTTTGAGAGTGTCTAGAATAGCGTTCGTGCAAAACAGACGCTTTTCAAGTTTCTCCCATTGACTTATAATGGAGAGGCCGCAAAATTGACCTGACCTTAGGTCACCGATATCAAAATTCCGAGATATAGGTACATTTGATAGATAGTGTTGCTCTAATCAATCGCTGAAAGTTTCAAGGCAATCGTTCTGTCGGTGTAGCTATGACGAGCATTCTTATTTTTTTCTGAGGTGAGGTCACTTGGCGTGACCTGGTGACCTGACCTAAGGTGACCTGGGTCTGACATTTTCACAACATGTGCGAAAAAGATGTACGAACAGGTGTGCAAAAAACAGCGGCGCTCCGCGCCGCCGTTTTTGAGATATCTGCGAAAAACCGCAAGGGGGGTGTTCAAACACCCCCCCCCCCGGCCCGGCGCGGGTTAAAGGGACACTCCCACCTTAACATTAGTTTTGAGTTGAGATAGCCAAATTGGTGGCCATGGCCTGCAAATACCGGTTTGGGCACTCACAACATCGACAAATGCTTTAATTCGGAGATATGGAATTTCAAACTTGCAGTTTTCGGATTCTAAGGGGCTAGTGCATTGGTATGCCCCCTTAGAATTTGTGACGTCAGCGGAGATCTAACGATTTTTAAATCTTTTACTAAAACGTTTGGTAGCACGCGATGGTATATGCTGCTTTGCGCGCAACAAATGCCGCACTTTCAAATAAAGTCGCTAGGAACAGCGGAGATCCCAAAAAGTAAACAAAAGTAAAAGTCTAATATCTTGAAAACCGGTGAATATTTTTCGATGAAATTTGGTAGATATTCGTTTTCGCTCTTTCTGAACCGAGCGACATCACTTTCGTGCCAATTCATTAACTTTTTTGAAGGTGGGAGGGTCCCTTTAATGCACTAGTTCATGTACATGTATGCGCAGATATAGTATCATCTCAGCTAAAATATATCTCTAATTCATGTTCAACACACTCTAGTGTTGTTACAAAAATTAACTCATTATATTTTCAATTTATTTGACCTATTATGCCTGACGAATATTTATTTTTCAAAAAATAGGTGCTATCTCCAAAATGGAAATTTTTCAGATCTCGGGGACCACACCATCGGATTCCTCGCAAAATTTTGGCCCAGAAAACACTAAAATTGGAGATGGGTATTTTCAAAAGTTATTTACCGTCTTTTGGGGCAATGTGTGCCGTCAGACGGAGTTCTATGATATATGATATGAGATGTCTGATATGATATCACGGTATATCACGGGGTCCATGGGGTTCAGATATCTCTGTCGGCCGTCGCGTCGATCAGCGCCAAGCGGCCCTGATGGACGCTGACGGCGCCGTAGTTACGTGACCCGCCGCTAGTGGAGCTGGTGGCGGGTCAGTCTGACCCGCCCCAGCAGTGCGTGCTCGCCCTTCGCGCAGCTCGGGCGCTCCCCGGTCGCCGGTATTAGAGGCGGTGTGGGACTCCGTGTCCAGTGATGGAAGAGCTGAGTACGGCTATCCGTGCCCTGTCAGACAGGTTCACTGTGATTGAGGCGTCAGTGAGTGCAATCAACGACCGCCTTGAAGAGCCCAACGCCGGTCGTCGGCACGTGGCTCAGCCAGAACAGGCTATTGAGCCGACTGAACCCGTGAGTACAGAGGGGTTCGATTTTGGATCCTACAGTGATCTCCAGGCAGAACTAAAGACTGTTCGTGAAGGAGTGGCCAAGATCAAGTTACCGCAGGACTTGGTCGTTGGAGATTCCCGCGCCGGCGTGGGGAAGAACGACCTGCCGCGTTTTCAAGTGATTCAAAGGTGCGCGAGGTTCCAGGAAACCGTTCTTAAGGTTTTGTCAACCGCTTCTGCTACGGATCCTGTGATAAACCAACTCACTATAGTCGCGTTAGCCCAAACCCGTTACTTACAAGAAGAATATACCAACTTGCTTGTCTCAAATCAGTTCGACGATACGACCGCTCAGCTTTTCAAGACTCTGCAACAAAACCCGGCGGCTTTCCCGCCGGGCGCGGTGGAAAACCTTCAGCGGGCGGTGACGATCGCCGGGGCGCGGCAGCAGTCACGCCAGGTCAGTCACGTGCCCGACCGTGCCCGCTGGCGCGGTCCGCCGCCGGCGGCCGCGCGGTTCGGCGCGGGCCCAGCGTCGGCTGATTGGAGGAGCCGCGGTCGACCCGGCCCGGGCTACCCGCAGCCGTCACGTGACCTGTCCCGGCCCGGTCAGCTGCAGCACGGAGCGGGGCCGGGGCCGCACGCCGCTGAGTGACGGGAACCATGGTGCTTCGGCCGGCGGCCTGGTCGGATATCGGCGCGTCTGATGTGGTAATCGAATGGGTAACGGATGGGGTTCCCATACCGTTTTCAAGTGAGCCTGAACCAAAAGTATTTTCTAATCCAAGGTTCACTGATACTGAAGTTGATTTTTTGAACAATGAACTCATTAACCTGGAATCTAGAGGTGTCGTTCAGAGAGTGTCAGAGACGCCTCACTGCGTGTCCCCACTAAAGGTTGTGCCGAAACCTAGTGGGAAGTTCAGACTGATATGTGACCTCAGGTATGTGAACTCACACTGTGATACACCACGATTTTCGTCTGAAGGTATCGATGTTTTACCCGAAATAGTACGTGATGCTGAGCAGGCTGTAACTTTAGATTTACGTGACGGATTTTTTCATTTTCAGATCGAGCCACAATATCGCAAGTATTTAGGGTTTCAGTACGGTGGTTCTTGGTGGGTGTGGTGCTGCTTACCTTTTGGGTTACAATGCTCTCCGTTTTATTTTCACAAATGTATTCGTGCCGTTGTTAAATATTTGCGTGATGTCAAATCATTGTCACTCATGGCCTATGTTGACGATTTTTATTTATGCTCCACAAAAGCAAGCATTGATCGAGACCTTGGTGTGTTGTTAGAGACGCTCAGTACCTTAGGTCTCGCTGTGAATTTTGAAAAGTCACATCTCACGCCCTCGGAGTCGGTAACTTATTTAGGCTTTGAAATTCGCTGTGCTACCGCTTTGAGCCCTCCTGTGATTACGGTTCCTAAGTGTAAAGTTCGAAAGTTGAAGCAAGACATTTCGAGGGCGCTGAAGCGTAGTTTCATTTCGGCTCGTTTGCTAGCTCGGATCGCTGGCCGGTGCATCAGCATGCTGGCGGCAGTCTTTCCGGCAAAGCTGAAATTGAGGAATGTGTACCGTCTCCTCAATTCCAGGTCATCCTGGGAGGCTCGGCTCCTGTGGTCGCCAGGAGCGAGAGAGGACCTGTCGTGGTGGGTGTCCTCCCTCGACGGCTGGAACGGCAGGCTGCTGGTGCCGCCGGCTGTCTGCGAGCTGCAGCTCTTCACCGACGCGTCGGGCTCCGGCTGGGGGGCCGTTCTCTCCACGCCCAGCTGTCAGCTGGCGTCCGGATTCTGGGATCAGCTGGTGAGCAGACAGTCAGCGAATTATCGAGAGCTATTAGCGGTTTATTTTGCTCTTCGCTCGTTCCGTTTTTCGATAGTTGGAAAAACAGTAGAAGTTCTGTCGGACAATGTTACTACAGTCGCTCATATAAACAAATTCGGTTCATCCAATGTTAGCTTAGACAGCATCGCACAGAACATCTGGTCGTTTGCTTTTGACAATAACGTTTCGCTGGTAGCGCATCACATTGCAGGTGTCTCGAACACGGGCCCCGACACCCTGTCTCGTATGTCGGCGCGTCATGAGTGGGTGTTGCACCCGTCCATCTTTCGACAGCTGGACCGGATGTTCGGGCCGCACACGGTGGACCGCTTCGCGGCGGTTGGCACGGCCCTGTTGCCTACCTACAACAGTCGGTTCGCGGACCCATGCTCGTCAGGAGTGGACGCGCTGGGGCAGACGGACTGGGGCGCCGAGAACAATTGGGTAAACCCGCCGTTTCGCCTGATCCCGAGGGTTCTCGACGTCATCGAGGCGCAACGTGCCGACGCGACGCTGATCGCGCCGATGTGGCCAGGCCAGCCGTGGATGGCACGCCTCCGACGGCTGTGCACGGCACCGCCGATCCGGCTGCCGCCGGTGACACGTTCGTGTCTCCCTCTATCGGAGCAGCAGCGGATCGAGCCACATCAGAACCGCAGGTGGACGCTGTGCGCCTGGAGAATCTCTGGTGCACACGGCTAGAGGCACGAGGATGGTCGCGAGCCGCTAGCAACTATTTACGGGTGAGCTTGGCGAGCAGCACACTCGCAACGTATGACCGATACATTCGTGATTTCTTTGTTTTCTGCGGTGCTCGTGGAGTATCGTTTCCGCCAGATGATTCCGCTGTGCTGGCTGATTTCTTCATGCACCGGTGCGGGTCGTCGGACCGGCCGCACTCCACCGTTCGGTGTGTTTCTGCGGCCATTTCAGCTTTGTATGAAGCGTTCGGAGCGGATAACCCTGCTAGGGATCCGTTCATTGTGAGTCTCCTGCAGGCCATCGTTAAAGGGACACTCCCACCTTAACATCAGTTTTGAGTTGAGATAGCCAAATTGGTGGCCATGGCCTGCAAATACCGGTTTGGGCACTCACAACATCGACAAATGCTTTAATTCGGAGATATGGAATTTCAAACTTGCAGTTTTCGGATTCTAAGGGGCTAGTGCATTGGTATGCCCCCTTAGAATTTGTGACGTCAGCGGAGATTAACGATTTTTAAATCTTTTACTAAAACGTTTGGTAGCTCGCGGTGGTATATGATGCTTTGCGCGCAACAAATGCCGCACTTTCAAATAAAGTCGCTAGGAACAGCGGAGATCCCAAAAAGTAAACAAAAGTAAAAGTCTAATATCTTGAAAACCGGTGAATATTTTTCGATGAAATTTGGTAGATATTCGTTTTCGCTCTTTCTGAACCGAGCGACATCACTTTCGTGCCAATTCATTAACTTTTTTGAAGGTGGGAGGGTCCCTTTAAAGGGGGCACGCGCGCCCCGATGGTTCGATCTGCAATCATGGATGTTTCGGCGTTTGTCCGCATGTTTCAGTCTTGGCCAGACAGTGCAGAACTGTCTACCAAACAGCTACGGCTGAAAACCATTACTTTGTTATCGCTAGCTTTAATGCTGAGGCCGTCTGACGTCGCGCCACTGGCTAAGAGGTACGAGTCCAGTACCGGTGTTATCTCTGATTTTGTTATGTCAACGGACCAATTTCAGTTTAACGCGGACGGTTCTCTCGGTGTGACCTTTCTCGGCGTCAAAAATGACAACCAGCGTACGGGCTTCCAAGTTACTTTGCCCCCCAGTCCTGATAGCAAGCTAAATCCTGTGGAAGCACTCAGGATTTATCTGGCTCGTACGGAATCGGTGCGTTGTCCGACTACTAAACCGGCGTTTTTAACTTTCGTTAGGCCTTTCAAGGCGATATCTGCTAGCACAGTCGCTGAAGTTCTGCAACAGGCCATCACTGCCGCCGAAAAGTTTGGCCTGCCGACTGGCCATCGGCCGAAAGATTTTCGGCCGACAGGGGCTACTCGGGCGGTTCAATTAGGCTTTGACACTGATGATGTACAACGTCTTGGCCGCTGGAAAACACGGTCAGTCTTTTTGGAGCATTACGTGCACAACGCGATTCAAAGCTCGTACACGGAGCAAATGCTCAAGTGATCGTGTCAGTCTGATCAGTCGTGTGTGTGTTCGTCCTTCTAGAGCCAGGCACTTGTGCGATTCGTTCACGTTTTCCTTTTGTTTCTCTCTCTCTCTCCAGTGTTTATTGCGTTGTTTGTTATAATACATGTAAGGCGGGGGGCATTCCACGTCAAATCAAACACCGAAATCCGTCATCCCCTTCGATTTTTCTGAAAATTTGTAGGCAGACTGGGCATGGTTCAAAACTGAGTTACGTATAATATTTTCGAAATTTGATAACGTATCGCTGAGATATAGGTCATCGAATATAGCGAAAAATGCCACATATCAATTCTTTAAATGGCTATAACTCTGGTTCCTTTTCTGGTATCAAAATGATATTAACAGGGTTTGATAGGCAATTGATAAGGCTTTGAATTTTAAATATAAGATTTAATTGAAGTGACCTTGAAATGCATTTGACCTTGAATTAAAACAGAAAAATTTAAATAGCAAAAAACACGTCACCTTCGATTTGGGTAATTTTTACATATTATGTCCGTCACAATGTTCCTAACCATCTGTGAAAAAATTGGAGTGGGCCATTCATAACTTCGCGGCAAACGCCGTTTTCATGCATCAACATCACGCAACCGCGCGTGACCTTGAAAGACAGAGTCAAGACATGCTTGCTTGTGTACACTTTCTGAAATGAATGATTGCTGATTAGTGATATCCCAAACTCTGCGAGAATGGAAATGCATAGTCATCGTAGTCAAGCATTCACGTTCCATAGTAAAAGTGTCTCAGGCAAACGGTATTTTGCGGTGAATTTTGAGCCGTGTGGAAATGCATCATGAAGTAAATTCAACGAAAACATTATCACGCAACGATATCTTCACGTCTTTTGATCTTCACTATACGAAAGAACATACATTTTTTAGTATGTATGGGGAATTTCTAGTTAATCCAATAATAAATATGGCAGTTAGAGAGGCCTGCTAAGAGTAACATGTCGCCGGCTGAGGCGGGCTCGGCCGATGCGGGAAACGCAGCAATCACAATTTTGTGTTTACACGTTCATATTTCAATTGTTTACCACCCGATTTTCAAAATTCTTTCACCATAAGATTGCCTGTACATTTCTTAGTCTTCTCCCAAAATTTGACGCGAATCGAACGTAATCAGCGGTAGGGAGCGCGATGTAAAGACGGAACCGTTCCGTTCCGTCCCGGCACAGTCTACAATTCAGGCGGCGCGTAGCGGTCGGCGCCGGCTGCCGAGTCGCCGTGTCGCTGCGGCGACAGGATGTTCACTTTACACACCGCTATTACTAGAACAGTTGTGAACCGATTTTCTTATTGCTTGTACGATGAGATGTCCAATTCAATTTTTAACAGGTAGCCATAATTAATTTCGCATTAATCTTTTGAGATATTGGCGAAAAACAGGAGGGGTGGGCGAAATTCGCTCTTCCCCCTCCACTGCGCGTGCTAACATACGTTTGCATATGTGCAATTTTCTTCAAAACTTATGAATGGCCCACTCTAATTTTTTCACAGGTTGTTAAGAATATGGTAGGCAATAAAATATATGAAAATGAGCCAAATCGAAGGTGACGTGTTTTTTGCTATTTCAATAATTGTGCTTAAGAACAGAGTTAAGCAAATTTCAAGGTCATACATTTAAGTACAGGGTGTCCCAGAATTGATGGCGGTCTTCGAAAAGTTCGTTGACCTTAAGTTGAATATTTTGCAGTGATGTATTTTTCAAAAAATCATGTGCAGTGGCATGCGTGCTTATTGTTGCACGTGCTGACTTACTTTCTAGCATATAAAAACTCGTCGATATGTCTCTATCAAGCATTTCTAAAAATCAATGTCGCAAAGCCCTGAAGAGGTGTCCAGCATGCGCCGGGAGCACTCTTTGGCAGTGCGCTCCCGGGCCGTCGGCATGGTTATCGGCGGCATGAAGCCAGGGCAAGTTGCTCAAGACCTGGAGATTCCAAAACGGTCGCTGGAACGCTGGCTTGCCCTTCACCGTGCTGGCAAAGGGCTTGAGAACCAGGAAGGACGTGGTCGCAAGTCCACCATCACACGCATCGCCAAAATCGTCATCGCGAAGTCCGCCTTCAAGCGGGGGCATTCAACCAGAAAACTGTCCAACAAGCTTTCACAGCGAGGTCATCCGGTATCAAAGTCCTCTGTACACCGTTATTTGAGGACCTGTCTTGGTCTCAAGCCTCTCAAGCCGCAACTGCAGCCTAAGCTGTCCCCGGAACAGAGGCGCCGCCGTCTGGAGTTCGCCAAACAGCACTCCAGCTGGACCATTGACGACTGGAGACGGGTCATTTTCAGCGACGAGTCGCCCTACCAGCTACACCACCCACCCAACCGCCAAAACGACCGAGTTTGGGCCCATGGCTCTTTTAACGTCATCCCAACGGAAACTGTCAAGCATCCGACCAAGGTCATGGTGTGGGGCGCGATGAGCTTCCGGGGGCTGTCTGATCTGCACGTGGTCCCCCGCGGCCAGACTGTCACCGCCAGCTACTACCAGGACAACATCCTCGAGACGGCCCTGAAGTCCGCGTTGAGCAGAACCCGTGAGAACGGCCCTCCGACAAAGGTCAAACTCCACCCTGACATGTCCAAGGTCATCTTCCAGCAAGACGGCGCCCCGGCTCACACCGCCGGCACGAGCCAGCAGTGGTGCGAGGAGCACCTCCCGGACTTCTGGCGGAAGGAGGTGTGGCCACCCAACAGCCCGGACCTGTCTCCTATCGAAAACCTCTGGGCCATCGTCCAGAACAAGATGGACGAGATACCAGCTGCGACCTCCAGGGACGGCCTGGTAGACAGCCTCAAGCTTGCCTGGAGGAAGATCCCGCGCGAGACGCTGGACAACCTGATCAGTGGCATGCCAGAGCGCATGCAGGCGTGTGTGAAGGAGAGGGGCGGATGCATTGGTAAATAAACCGTGTCACCATGCCGACTGGTTTTTGCCACAGGGGCGATTATTTAGACCGCCATCAATTTTGGGACACCCTGTAGGTGCAATTCTAAACAAATGCTTAAGAAATTACCTAAACAGTATGGTTTATTTCATTCAAATCAAACAAGTACAACCAAAGTTATGGTCGTTCAAAAATATAAAGATGCAACATTTTGTAAAAATTTGATGCCCTATATTTAGAAGACCTGTGGTCAGAATGTGCAAAAAACATCAATGTAATGTCCGGGGCCACACAGGAACTCGCTCACAAATTTATAATGAAATCGCTGATGGTAAGGTGCAAAACAGCCGATTTTTGTTCGATTTGACGTGGAATGCCCCGCGGGTCACAGTAACGTTGGTTTTATGAAACCGTAGTTACGTGACCCGCCGCTAGTGGAGCTGGTGGCGGGTCAGTCTGACCCGCCCCAGCAGTGCGTGCTCGCCCTTGCCGTGGTTGGTTGCTGGCTAATGTCGGTTGAAGGTTGATGCAAATGTTGAGGTGACGGGATCTGTGGAGCGTCCGGGCAGCGGAGAGTCTAGCATGTACGCTGTATTGCGTTGTTTGTTATAATACATGTAAGGCGGGTCACAGTAACGTTGGTTTTATGAAAACTGAGATAAGCCTCCCCTGGCAGCCATTTTTTATCTACCGCATGTCCGGGATGGACAGAATCGGCGGCATTCCATCAGCACACTGGAACACACGGTAAACGCTCATATTATGTAAGCTAACGCATCATTTCATGGACGGCTTAGGAGTTAGGAACCGGGGAGGTAGGTGAGTGCTAGGAAGGTCCACATACTTGTACACTCAATACACGATCTTCATGGCTAAGGACTGTTTGATTCGTAACAGATTGACTGTAAGTTGTAACGTGACACTGAAAATCCTATCTGCAC